TCGACAGACGCCAGCACGGCTCGTTCAACGCCAGCGTTCTTACAACCGACGTACTCATTTAGCCGCTCGTCGCGATCGCACAAATTAGCTACGCCCGCTGCGAAAGAATGTCGGAAACGTCTGATTACCCATCAGCACACTAGGTCGGCGGTGCACGTCTGGTGACCTGACCTGACCTGCTACCAGGTCAGCGGCACGGCGCCCGGTGACCTGACTCCACCAGATCAGCGATGCACCGGACCATGAGGTCAGCCGACCACCGGCGCACCGTCCGCCGACCGGACCTGAACCCCGCCCGGTCAGGCCGGTCTGACGTGGGCAGGTCAGGTGGGCGTCCCTGCGCCCGTGCGCCGACCGCACCTCGTGCAAGGCCAGCCAGCCGCCCGGGAGCCGGCGGCCGCCCACAACCCGGCTCCGCCAGAGCCGGCGGCCGCCCGGGAGCCGGCGCCGCCGGAGCCGGCGGCCGCCCCGGAGCCTGCGCCGCCGGAGCCGGCGGCCGCCCACAAGCCGGCGGCGCAGAATCGATCACGCCGCGTCGAGCCGCCAATTTTGACCAACACGGGCCGACGGCGAGTGAGTGAGGACAACAGGTGTGGATTCGGCTGGCGCCGGTGGCCAGTCCGCCACGAGAGTCGCGTCGGCTCTGACCACACCCGACTCTGACGGCTGGCCTTCGCCGACGCCCACCGCCAGCTGTGCATCAGCCCGCCGCCGCACCCGAGGCTCCCGGCTGCGCAGCCAACTGTCTCAAGTGACATGAGACGACGGATAAGCGCTCGTACGTCACGCACTTCTTCTGACTGCACGCATGGGCGCGAAATAAACTGGTCTTCCTGCGTTGTACCTTTTGCATTAATAGCACACGTCATCGTGTTGTGGCTCTAATAGCTCCCTTCGCGATGTTCCCACGCACAAATCGAATTAACTTTACGAATCACGGTTTGTTCGGCGCCGTGCCGGACATGTTTGACGGACACGCCAGCACACGCTGCATCATCACGCGAGCTCCCTGACGGCGGCGCCACACGGTCAGCAGGGCCGCCGACACGGCCGGCGAGGCCGCGCCCCGGCGACGGTCGCTGCAGGCCCGCCTGCCGGCCGACAGGGCCGCGGCACTGCCAGGACGGCCGCCGCCCCACAGCTGCCGGGAGGCGCCGACCAACAGTGAGATGTCGCCGCTCCGAAAGCCTCCGACGTATGCCGATGGCCTGTCGGACTGACAGCCGACCGTGCTCGGTTTCGCGGCGTGCCGACGAGTGACGGCACATGATACGCCGCGGCGGTCTCCAATTACCCGCACAGTGCGGGCGGCGGTATGACTTCCGAGGCCAGGCTAGGATGGCACACGCAGAGCGCCATGTGCGTCTGCTCCCGGGAATGACATAGACGTACTGGAACACCAAGCGAGCTACATAGTCGAACCATCGCGGGCAAAATCTAATGCACAACAAAAACAGCACCCAAATAACAAAGTCCACATCGCCCAAAACGCACGCCATACGTCGGCTAGCGTGCGTGACCTGCATGCACGTCACAGCGGCGGCAGCGGACGGCGGAAGGGGCGCGGCCCGTGCTCTCGGGCCCCAACCCGGCCACATGTGGCGCGGCCGGTGCTTGGCGCTCGGCAGCGGCGACCCAGTGACCTTTCCATCACAGCCCGGGTGACACGCGAACGGTGGGTGTGGCTGACCGCCGGACCGCAGGACCACAGAACCGTCCGACCGCCGGACCGCCGGCTCGACCGGTCGCTGCTCTCCGCTGACCAGTGATGGGGTGTGAGTCTCCTTAATCGGCGCCCCCGCTCACGCTAACTATAACTGCCGATCGTCATCACGTAACGATCGCCCCGCCGTCGGCCGGTCTCGCAGGTCTCCAGCGTTAGGGACATTCCCGTATTAGTCAAAGTGATGCAACTAGCCAACACCGGCGGATACGTGGCCGGGACTGAACAGGTCACCTGCAGGGCTTGGGTCCGCTAGCGGCCGGCTGTTTGGCGGCCAGGATCCACGGAGCTTGGCCCGCTCAGAATACACCGTCGCGCGACGAGGACCACAGGGAGTGCCTGAGCCCCGCGGAGAACTGTCACTGGAGGGTGCACCGGCGACTGGCGGCGGGTTATTCAGCGGACCGGTCGCCGACCGAGGGCCCCTCGGAGCGCGCGGCTCCCTGACGGAGGCTACGGCTGGGAGGGCGCCGGCGCTGACGTCAGCAGCCCGGCGCCGGCTGAGCGGGGCGCCGAGCGTCTCCGGCAGCCGGCCGGGTTGGGCCGTGACCGGTCACCACGGCCGGTCACGGGGCGGGGTCACGGGCGCCGAGGGCGGGGTCAGCTGCGCCGGCCTCACCTGCGCTACCTCCCCGCAGAGCATGTTGCCGCCGCCGGCCGGCCGCTGCGGCGCCGCGGTGCTGTGCGGCCGGTGTGACTGACGCTAGCACACCCACCCACACACACAACCCGCCACCGCACGAGTGAGGCGCGCGTGCCGCCGCCGACCGCCGCCGCCGCCCGTCGTCGAATGCGACGTCATGGCAGGCGGCGGCCCGCCCTGCCAGCCGACGAGCCGCGCACGGGCCGGCGCCAACCCTCCCAGACCCGGCCGCCGCCGCCGCTCTCTCCACCCTCGTTTGCCGGGGCTCGCCAGTGAGAGTGACAGGCCGACAACCGACCGCCCGACAAACGGACCGACCTGCCCCATGGTGCCACCAACCGCTGGCATCAGCGAGTTGTCAGGGGTGGGTCGTTATAGGGTGTCGTTTGGGGTAGCGCGGGGCTCTGACGAGCCTCTGATGACTTGCGACCGCCTGACTCATTCATCAGCCCCATGAACGTGCCAACGTTCTCGTGCGTCGCTCACCACCGGGCAAGCGGCCGAAGTTTGGCAAAACGGGGTGCTAACAGCGTGATTTTCTTGCTGTTTGGAAGTGGCTAAAGATGACACTTTCCAAAATCCAAGCAAATGCCATGTGCATAAACGGAAGCGAAGCATCCATTCCCGAACATTAACAGCGTCATCATCTGGTCGGAATGACGGAGGGCTCCTTGTGGGACCCTCGGGGTCCATACGCCTTTTAAACATCTTCTCAGGGACCTCTGCCACATCCTACGGAAACCTGCGAACTCGGAGCATGACAATTTCTCTTCCTCTTGTAAATACTGAACGGCTTCAGTGAAATCAGCTTGTTGACGAATGCTCGTTTTCACTCCCCGAAAAGGTTCGCGAACACGCCGTGAAACTGTGCGCGCTTTATGCTCGGATTCGTTTCCAAACCACACAGGAGACGCGCTGCACGTGGGAGCTCGTGGTAGAAAACTGGATGCCACACATCCAGCGCGGCACCAGCAGCACTTTAACTCAGTGGACCAGCAATCTTGCCTGCTGCGAACATGATGCCACGGACGAACATACGGCATAGAGTGCGGCTGGAGACGACACTTGGTTCATACCACTATGTCGCTGAGATCCACAGCTCATGCAGATGTAATGGACACATGCTAGCCGGGGTCCACACCTGTCACCAAGACCACGAGCCAGCGCTGACGGTGGACGCCTGAGGGAAGGTCAGGGAGCGATCTGCGCCACTCAGCGCGAGCACAGCGAGTACGGCCCGGAGCGACACGACGCTGATGAGGACAGCTTTGGCAGCACCTCAGTGGACTGGCCGACTCTCAGCCCGCGTCGACATCGGGCTGAACAGGACGGCGATCGCCGACGCTGCCGCCGCCGGCCCGGTGACGGATGACAGACGCCGACCCGTCCGTCACCGCCCCGGCGCCCGTCACGGCCACCGCCGCGCCGAACATCCGTCACGCCGGGCGCCGGTCACCGGCCGACGGCGCCAACTGACCAATCGCCCGAGGCGGAGCTGACCGACGGCCAATCAGCACGTCCCGACCCGGCGAGCGTCAGCACCAGCCAGCAGCGGCACAAAGGCGGGGTGAAGACGTCTGTTGACGCCGGTCATCCGCCCGGTCCCAGCGCCCCCTGCTCTTTCAAAAGCCAACACCAAAGCCTGCCCATCATCGCGTTGGGCTTGTTTTACCACGTAAAATAAGCCAACAACCAACTTGTGCTTAATTCCGCCGAAGTCTATGAAATCAACAGTCACGGGGAACCGTGCCGCAGCTGTTTTTTTTTTTTTTTTTTTTTTAGAAGCCAAAGCACCCCGGTGGTTGAATTCAGCAAGCTACCACTGGGTTGAGCCGACCGCCAAGCAGCTGCCCGGTGAGTTGAACAACAAGTAGGAGAACATGCATATGGCCTTCAGGGAGCATGACGCGCTGCGGCGCAAGCCCAAGCGAAACTACTCAGCCAAGCGGCGTCAGTCGGGACAAGCAATGCCAAAGGACAGACACTTTCAGTTCAAAACGACGTCGTGAAAGCGCGGTGATTAATTCTGCCTGCCACTGCCTAACAATGCTCTCGCGGACAACGTCATAGAACAGTTCCGAGGAACAAGATAGGTTATGTTTCAAAAGACGACCTGTGAGAACAAGTCGGATTACAATCGCAAATGACAGCCCTCTCCGTTGTGGCAAGGCACCACGGGCGGTCACGCGACACAAAATGCTTCTTCAAGGTTGGAAGACTACTGGAAATTGGCCCCGCAAGTCAGGAAATGCAGCTTGGTGTCATACGACGAAGTTAAATTACGCGCAACCTACACCAAGCATCAATCTAGCCGCCTCAGTTTAAAACCCCGCGAGCTCCGACTTCTCCTGCCTATTTCCTTCACCCAGCAGTGCAACTGGAGCCGGAAGCTGAATGGCCTTTGGTACACTGTTCGGCTGAAGCCAGCCCATCCAGCATGACGATATCAAGCTCACAACGCAAACAAACTCCCGAAATAAGCACTGCAGCAACGGAGCCGGTGACCGTAGCATAGCAGGCCGCTCGGCACAAGCGTCCAGCCTCAGCCGAGCCGAGCGCCACGCGGCGCGGACCAGCGCGGGCCGACTGCACGCTCGCGGCCGCTGCCATCTGGCGGCGCGACGGAGCACTGACCAGCAGCATGTACTCGTACTCGAGCTCCTCCCAGTACAGCGCGTCCTCCAGCTCCCAGTCAAAATAGGGGTTGTACAGGGCACGTCCGAACGGCTGCAACGCAGGAGGGGAGGTGGTCAGGAGAGGGCGTTCAGGAGAGGGCGATCAGGAGAGGCGGCGGTCAGGAGAGCGGATGTCATGAGAGGGCGGTCAGGAGAGGGCGGTCAGGAGAGGGCGGTCAGGAGAGGCGGCGGTCTGGAGATGGCGAGAGGAGGCGGTCAGGAGGGCGGGCGGTCAGGAGAGGGCGGGCAGGAGGGAGCGCGGGCAGGAGAGAGAGTGGCGAGGAGAGGGGCGCTCAGGAGAGGGGGAGGTCAGGAGAGGGGGAGGTCAGGAGAGGGGGAGGTCAGGAGAGGGGGTGGTCAGGAGAGGGGAGGTCAGGAGAGGGCGGTCAGGAGAGGGGGTGGTCAGGAGAGGGGGTGGTCACGAGAGGGGGTGGTCAGGAGAGGGGAGGTCAGGAGAGGGCGGTCAGGAGAGGGCGGTCAGGAGAGGGGGTGGTCACGAGAGGGGGTTGTCACGAGAGGGGCAGTCAGGCGTCAGGCGAGCGGGCCAGCGCAGCGCGTCGGCCGCTGGGCCCCTTGACCGCACGCGCCGGGAGAGGACAGGCCGTTGATGCGCCCACTGTAGGAATGTAACGGTCGCAACGGGAAACCGCAAAGGGCGTCGAAAACATGGTGTCAAACGACGCCATATAACAGCAACTACCATGAGGAGCGACAATTTCACGCATGTTACTGCAGGTACATGAAGCGCGTGTCATCGGAGAACACGAAACAAGCGAGAACATTCGTGTTCAACTTACCTTGGAACGAAGAGAGGGCGATACGTTTGGCGCGCCACTTACCATACGTTTCGGGAGAAATCGAAATGCACCAAAAAAGACCCACCTTGAGGATGGTGACCACAAGGTGATTGGTAGTCCCCATAGCTTGCTCCCTATTCACGGTCCCACCCCAATTGCGTGCAAATGACACACCTAGTCGCCGAGCTCGGGTAGTGCGCTCAGCACACTCAACAGCTACCAGAGATGTGCATCACCAAGCCGAACAGAACTCGCGCCCTAAACCAATCAAGACACGTCCAAGAGATGCCATATCACCACAGCGTCCCGCCGGCGTCTAAGACTACCGCGAACACTCGGGGGAACATTAGCAGGTGCGTGCTTCGCATGCCGATAAACCAATGCCGTCCGTGCGTCGCTTTGTCCTGGAAAAGAACGAAGGAACAATTACGGGAGAAAGAGAAACGCAGCACGAATGGTGCGACGCCCGCGACCAGGCATGACCACATGCACGTTCGCGGTGGGCAGCCACTAGCCGGTGTGATGCGGTGCATTTCTAGGGGTCTCCTACGGCAGTCACACTGCGCCAAAACAATCATCAGGTATATATTCATAGCATCAACGGGATGCCGACCTGCGCAAGTGAACATGTATTCCTCAGCCAGTCGTGGCATGAGCGAGCGTATTATTTCCTCAGTTTTCAACATCCTCCCTCTCACTGGCGAGCTTTCAACACGCACGGGAGCCAGCGAGCAAACAAAAGGTGTCTATTTCGGACTTTTAGACAAAGCAGGACCGTTGACGCTAGTGGCGGGCATGCCGTTCGTGCTCCAACTTACCCAGAGCTCAAAAGCCCATTTTCCGCCGCTGTTGATGTTCGTTGAACCGTCTCTCACAGCCACCTGCAAACAAGACCGGCTTAATAACCGAAAGCCACAGCAATGGCGTCATTACTTTGCTCTGTCGAAAACGCACGGTCAAACGGCAGTGCAGTATTCCGACCAGCCTTCTGCTGAGAACTCCATTCGCACTCCGGCCCGTCGCCATGACAACCGTCGCATGCCACCGCATCCAACACCAGCCGCAGCCAGGGCGACACACCTCCGTGCCCGGACACCGCCCCCAGACGGGAGACTCACCGGTCCGGCTGATCTGCAGCTCAGACTTGGGGTCTTCGTCGAGCCCGGGCAGCCCCGCACGCTCAGACCGGCCGACAGCGACCGGCGAGCTCGGACGCTGCCGCCGCTGGTCACGCCCGTCACGGTGGCCGGCTCCGAGACTTCTCCACCGCCAGCCACGTCCGTCTTGGCCGGCTCCGAGACTTCTCCACCGCCAGCCACGTCCGCCTTGGCCGGCTCCGAGACTTCTCTACCGCCAGCCACGTCCGTCTTGGCCGGCTCCGAGACTTCTCCACCGCCAGCCACGTCCGTCTTGGCCGGCTCCGAGACTTCTCCACCGCCAGCCACGTCCGTCTTGGCCGGCTCCGAGACTTCTCCACCGCCAGCCACGTCCGTCTTGGCCGGCTCCGAGACTTCTCCACCGCCAGCCACGTCCGTCTTGGCCGGCTCCGAGACTTCTCCACCGCCAGCCACGTCCGTCTTGGCCGGCTCCGAGACTTCTCCACCGCCAGCCACGTCCGTCTTGGCCGGCTCTGAGGCTTGCCCGCCGCCAGCCACGCCCGCCTCGGCTGGCTTCGAGGCCTGCCCACGACCGGCCACGTCCATCTTGGCCGCCTGGAAGACCTCCGCTGCGGGTGGCAGCGCTGGGGAGCGGGCCCGGCCAGGCGTCGTCTGCGTCACGGCAGAGCAGGATCTGAGCTGCCGCTGGCCGCGCGAAACTGCGGCCCCCTGCCCACCGCCCGAGGAGACCACCTCCGAGAAGCTGCGCTGTCGGCCGCTCAGACAGCTGACCGGCCTACACCGCTCCTCGGGGGAAAGAGTATCCTGCAACAGTGGAGGCGCACTTCAGGCGGAGCACATTCGCTATCTATGTTTCATATTGCTGCTCTACAACCACTACGTACGGACAAGGTAGTGTCTCTAGGACAAAGCTTTAAATTCTCATCGTATTTCTCATCAAATTCTCACAAAAAGATGTCTACCAATAGCTACCAGTCTCGCTGCCTGTCCACTGCACAAAAGGAAGCAGCGAGCCCTTGCCTGTTCTGCGTCTGTCCTGGCCGCGGCTGTCGTTCGGCCGGTCACCGCCAGGTGGCTGGCGGCGCGCCGTAGCGGCGCGGGAGCCGGCTGCGCTCCGCGGCTCCTGCTGCTGCCGGGAGCCGCGGACGGAGCCGGAGCCCGGACGGCACCTGCCGAGGCAGTCACTGCCACGGACGCCACGCGTGTGCCGCCGCTGACGGCCGGTGGCGGAAGCTGAGGTGTGCGCTGGGCCCCACAGGCGACGGTAGCAGTATTCGTGCCGGGCGCTCTTCGCCCAGGGACAGCTCGGACTCCGCCAGGCGGCACTGGTCTCTGCGAACAGCAGTGTGTGATGTGCGTCAGATACTGATCAGGTGTTCATTCACCATCAACGACGTCACCGGATCTACGCACTAGTGCCTTACGGCGTGATTGGACGCATATTGCACACATATGCGCAGTTGGAAGGAAATCTTGCATCTTGTGCCTGTTCAGCACGGGAGTTTCGGTAACCCATGCCGCATGGGTTGCCGAAACTGCAGCCATGACAGGCTGCAACGCTTCGAGGTCTGACAACAAAACCCAATCCCTGGCATACCATAACCAAGTGTCCCCTTATTCAACTTTCGCGTGATTTGGTTAGCCACTATGTTTCTGACAGAAGCCAGAGCTGTACCAGCGGCAAACGCAGCGCCAGCTCGGCCACGTCGGCAGTACGAGGCAGCGGGAGGCCGCCTCCGCCTACCTGCGGCACCGGTGGCCTGGCGTCGCCGGCCGCCGGCGGGTACGAGCCGACCACGGGCCGCTGATGAGGGCCGGCCGCCGGCGCGCGCACCACCTCCGAGAAACTGCGCTGCCGCACGGGGCCGGCCGGCGGTGCCGCCGCCACCGTCGGCGGCGTCGGCACCGCGCCCGCCGGCCGGGCGCCGCGGCCCGACAGACCCGTGTCCTGCGGCGCGTCAGGTCTGGAGGTTAGTGGGAGCAGCTGGCTGCCGCGCGCTGAGGCCGGGCGTGAACTGCAAGCGCGGCGACAGAGCTCGATGCCGACTGAACGCGGCGAGGGCGGCAAAGGTCAGGGCAACATGTTTAAAGACGAAGAATCAGAGCCTTGCTGTCACTGCGACTCACATGGGAAACTCAACAGAATGTATACGACCAAACTGCCGAATATCGTGAAGTCCTGCGCACCGCGTTCTTGTATAAATTGAGTCATCGATCTCGCCCGGGGCTCTGCATCGGGAACTGGACTGCCGACAAGCACCTTCCCACCAGACCAGACCTGCGCATTAGCCAGGAGCAGGGCCACTCACCACTTTGGCAGAGACGTTGGCGTACGCCTGCGACCGTGTCCGCAGCGAGGCCGACCTCACGTCGGGGGGTGGCGGCAGCCGCCGCTGTTGAGCAGCACCACTCTGCAACTCCGCACTCTGTGCCACTGCACCCGACACTCCGCACTCCGCGACACCACACCGGGCACCCCGTGACACTGCACTCGACACTCCACGCTCCGCGACACCTTTATCGAGAACTCTACACTGTAACTCAGCACTAACACTACACTTTGCAACTTCGCCTGCAGAGTCCGCACTTTCTGGCCTTGCATACTATTACATAATAGACCAATTCGGTAGGCTATCAATACCAAACTGCTTGACCTGGCTGCACCCAGCATCTCGCAACGCACACGTGCCGCCGCGCCCGTGACTTATGGCACCACACTCTGGGCCGCTCTGTCCGCCACAGCCTGCCGCCCTTCTCTCCCTCTTTCTCTCCCTCTGAGACGCGGCGGGCACTGCCGTCGCTGCGATGGCAATGATGACGGGCCGACGCACAACAGCCGCGCACGATAATACAATCGGTAGCATCGGTCTGTTTGACATGCGCTATTTGGACGACCAGTAGCTGACGGAAGCGTACCTGGCACCATAACACGCCCTACATCGGTGCCGCCCCCTCCCCCCCCCCCCCAAACACAGACACACCGGCCGGGAGCCAGGTTCGGCCGCGCATCCGCGGATCTATCCCTGACGCACAGCAGATATCTCGCGTTACTGTCGTGCACCATTCACCAGCGCCCACCTTACCACCTGTAGCTGACCTCGCTGCCGCCTCGCCGACCGATTTACCAGCTGAGAACGAACGAACTGCCAGCTTCCAGCGGCCGACTCAAAACTCACCACGTGGAACGGAGGCGCCGGGTTTGCGAAGCTCCGCTCGCGGCGCAGGGCAGCAAAGTTGGCGGCCTCCTAGCGGCGGGAACGTGAGGCGGTGGTTAGAGCGGCGCTCAGGGCGCGTCGCTAGCGGTGATCGCAGCGTCGCGGCATTCCACGCCGGCCGACGCTGATGTCAGAGACAGCGAAGCAATGCCATTAGTCAACGAGAGCGCAGGGGACGCGGGATAGCGGTCAGACGTGAGGGTTGTCGCAGTCCGCTCCACGTCAGCCGGGGAACATGAGCACAGTGACGCCACCAGGCACGTGGCAGGCCGCATATAGCATCTTATATGTAAGACATATAAGAAAGATATCCCTGCTTCCAGCAAAACTCGCTGCTTCACACACCATGCAATAAAAAAAACAGCTGCAAGACACAGCTGCCCCTCCGTCCTTTCCACGCAGCATTCTGCACCGTTGCAAGTCTTCTCGAACCGTGATTTCGCCGCAGCCGCTCATCGGATGGAATGGTCCAATGCTGCCGCGGCCGCCAGTTCGCACCCCATGATCGGCAGGGCTCACCGAATATAACGGTGGAGCTCCTCCGGGGTGAGGCTGGAGGTCCGCAGTTATGGCACGATTAAAGCGTCACCCCCGTGATATGTCTGTCATTAATTCATCGGCTTCGAACGTTATGTTCGCTTACAGGCCTAAAGGTCCTTGTTTAAGCTAACACAAGCAAACCAAAGCACGTCAGCTGATATTAGGATGAAGCTGCCGCTGAGGAGCTGTCACAAGGTGATGCTGTGGCGGGTGTTGCCTTCTCTTCACCTTAGCCTCTGCAGGCCTGTCGCACCATCACAATCAGCCGCTCACGGTCACGTGGGCTATTTGTGGCGCCGAGCCCCCGCTGCACATTGCGTCACCGGGCCGTCGGCGGTCTGCCCGCCCAACAAGGCCGTCCCTCATGGCCTGGGCTCGGCCCACGTCAGCCGTGCAGCCGTCCCGTCCGAGCGTAACACGGCCGTCACGTGCGCGCCACCAGTTCCACCCCCGCCCAACCCGCAGCCACGCCCAGCTCCCACACGGACGCTGCATGTACCGCGGGAAGCCGCTGGAATGTGCCGCCGCCCCACACGGCAGCCGCGAATTTCAGCCGCGCCGCCACGCCGGGGGCGGGGTGGCACGCGCCAGCAACAACGGACTGAGGGGGGGGGGGGGGGCCGCAGCGGCGCGCCGTCGTCGCGTACGCAGCGGCATCCAGCGGCCGCATACCACCCGACCCGGCGACCCGACGCTGGGAGCGGCGATCCGGAGCAGCCGGCTGGGACCCCGGGCCGACGACCGTCGTCACCGACCGGCTGGGAGGGGGGCAACGGCGGCGCTTGCGGCGGCTGCTATGCATGGAAGTGTGGCTCAACGTCAATTGGAACCGAGCTGAAGACAGGGATACAGGTGCAGTTAGGCTTCTACCCTTCAAGACGGAATTTACCAGTCGCACGAAGCAGACGCGTTGCGCGGTGCGGGGTGGATGAAGCGATGACAGTTTTCGACGCACCACTTGTCATCATGGAGATGCTGCTCCAAAAGTAAGCTGAGGGAGTCAGCCACATTTGGCAGCTTTCAACAATGTGTAGGATCTTTGTGGTGGAGAGCCCGCAAATGACAAATGGCAAATGATGCTTAGCCAATTGGCAAATGATGCTTAGCGCATAGTGTGAAAGGGAATGAAGAACACACCAGCAAAATATAGTTCATGATAAGCCTCCAGGACCGTGGCACCAGCAGTGCAATGCTAACTGGTTGATGGGAATGGGTAAGAAAATATTTTGAAGAAATAGGGCAAATCAAATGTGCTAACACGACGAATACAAGTCACGACATACACCTTGTTCGATGACCTCATTTCTCTGTCTCGGCCAGTTGCCTTCGTTTCCATAGCATTGTTACTGAGAATGGCCAGCCTGCAAATGACTAGACCCAGGGGCTGCTGCAGCGAGCCGGTAGCCGGCGGGTGCAGCGATAACACACAACATTCTGAAGCCCGAACGACGCAGAACAGGTGACGTAAATTGGGAGGCATGTGAGGTATGTTAAATTCGTCCGACATGGCCACTGCAGGTAGGGGTGGGATTGGCGTAAGGGGTAGATACTTTAGCCACCAGTAAGATAGGAAATTGGGGTGCCAAAGTACTGACTCTGCCTGTAACGTGTTGAAATGAAAAAAAACTGCCTCAAGTGGCTCGTTTTAAACGTCCGCTCTCTCCACATGTGCATAATTCAGGCAGTCACATTGTGCATAAAGTTTCACTTTTCAGATGAAATCAGATGAAATGATGAAATGTCCGGGAGGCAGTAGGTATTCAATGCGGAACATTATCTCGAGCGGCACACTAAGCAGATGCAGAATATGTGGGCCCTGAACCGGAAAGAACCAAGCAGCACATCCAAACGGTTATCCATAAGGCTAAGCTGCTGATGTTCCGTAAGTTCCGTACAGAACCTGTCTGCGAGCCTCCGCACAGCAGCCAGGAAACTGAACTTGGTGCAGACTTATATGATCTCCCACTCAAAAGATGGTGCCGCGAGCGTGTGTCCGAAAACCCGTATGGAAAGCGCAGAAAAACAGACTTATCACGGAAGATACTAGAAATTTTAAAGAAATTTACAATTTTATGAAATAGCCGTGCGTAGCACCCAATGTAACTACTGATTTGGAAATGACTACAAAAACTTCTCGCATGACCTGCCCTTACCTAAAATCACCATGCACATGATCGCACACGCATATGCGCAAGCAAACACGTGCGCACACGCACCAACACGAAGAGCGCATACACACAAAGACGTAAATAGGACAACGGTCGACATCTAGGGCCGTGTGTCATCCTCTCTCTCCTTCAGTCATCAATCCCAAACTACCGTCAGACCCTAACTAACGGACATTCCTAGCACCGGGCCGCGTCTTCGAAGCCATCAACGTCTGGCTCCCAGCCAAGTTTCCAATCATGATATTGATACAACAGACACAACAAAGACGGGACCGCCACGCCACCGTGACGCTCGTATTCTCGGCGAAGCCAGCACGACGCCAAGAGCGAATCGACCATTTTGGAGCTTTTTTGTCGATAGATGCGGACTTGACGCAGATCGCATGTCATCAGGAGCCTGTTACATTGCCGTTCAACAGCGAAGCAAAGTTTACCCATTCAGCTAGTGGCAGATGCTCCAAAGCCGGCCAAAAACGTCATGAATATTGAGCACCCTGATAACGCACATCCCCACAAATCCTTTTGAAGAGGCCGCCATCTGCAGCTGTCATTATACTGGATGTAGTCAGCACTAGTAGCAGCCAAGCCAAGGACAATGGCATACGGGGACGGAGAGTTGATCCACACTCCGATCTAATGATGTACTCACCGATCTGCTGGGATGCACGTGGAAACTCCGTTCCCTCCGCATAGGGTAGCCCTGCTGTTCTTTCTTGTTTGCTTCCATAATTACAGCACACGATTGCGATTGGGCCAGGTCCACAGGTTTGCTGGAAAGGTTAACGCGCGTGAGCCCTTGGATCAGGCGAGATATCCGCATACACGCCACTTCTCTTACGGTGGTATGCCGGTGGTACGTATGTCGTCCTGTTTTACACTGGCGTCATCCCCGCATCAAGGCAGCAATGTTGCATTTTAGGCTTCGAATCCTGGATTGGAGTGGTAAATACCGCATAGGCCCTGCGTGATTAGTGAAACTCTGATTTCCCAAACTGCTAAGATAGATGCCTATTGGTTCACTGCTGCTAACATGCCGTAATGCCTATTGAAGACTGCGGCATGCCGAGTTGAACAAAGGCTTTAGCTGTCGAATAAAGAAACTTACGCAATTGCTACCAGATTTAGCCGTACACGTCGCACGTTACAAGGTGTGATGGTTTGAGGCAGTGGAGCGGAATGAGCCTTTCCTGGTTGATAATGCTCCCCAGGGGATATTTTCCAACAGTCCTGGACAAGTATGGATGGGTTCAGGATTACCTTAGTTAGCAACGCTGGACTTGATTGACTTTGCTATTGGCCCATGATGGAAGTGATAGTATTTAACACAGTAGTGCAGTGAGGGATAGCATGCAGCGAAGTACGCTAATCGCAAAATTGGTGCGACGACAGTTGGCGAATCCCATGTTTTGATATACGGAGACCAGCATTAGCTGTTTAAAAATGTGTTTTTGGAGGGGGAAGAGACCGCCCTTTCACATATAGGGGCGGCGCAGCAGGGGAGGGAGGGGGGGGGGGGGAGCAGAGAGGGCAGCTGCGCCCATGCCGACAGTCAGGGGGCACAAGCATGCTTTCTCCCACATAAATTTTGAAAAGCCCTTTTCCCACAACGAAGGCCCAGTAACTGCCCGTAGATAGCAAAAATTCAGATCAAGGTGCCCCTATAACTAATAAAGAGTAACAAATCCGGCTCAGAAGACTCTTTTCTACATTGAGAGGCCCGTTTTTCTGGCTCATGAGGATACCTTTGCGAATAAAGTAGGACATGCTCCAGATTGGGAGGCGCAAGGTTGTGCTCAGGAGGCCCCTTGCTTGCCCGGGAGACCACCGTTATGAACTAAGAGGCCCTGGTCTGGGTAAAGAGGCACGCTCTGTGTCAAGGAGGACCCATTTCAGGAAAAAGGGTCCCATTCTATGCATTAGATAGCCGTGGTTCCGAATCAGAATGCCCTGCTTTGCGATACCAAAGACCCTCGGCTAGATTTAGAGCCCCATTTGTCCATGGAAAGCATCCTGTTCTGGACTAGGAGACCCCTCCTTACATCAGGCGGCCCTGTTTTAGGTTACTGACACTCTGATGGGTAATGGAAGTACCACGTTATTGTTGTTTTTTTATTATGTGCATTTATTTGCTTGGATATGACGCATGAAACAGTGTGATAAAGGAGCACATACTCTTGGTACCGCCCCCCCCCCTTGAATACGACTCTGGTCAAGAAGTATCCTTGCGAGCAGTCACCATTTTGTCCAACAGCCCTCCCCCCTGCCCCCCACCAAAAATCCCTGCCACCACCCCGTTTATAAAGGGAACCAGGCACTCTCACGCATGAACGGAACCACCTCTGGGATGTTACTGGCTCAATGGTACATAGGCAAAGCACACTAACAATCAAGTCTGTTCACAAGTGGGAACTCACGCGAAGAACTGAAACTCATGCGACTCCAAAGGTCGTTACGCCCACGAGGCCCACGTCAAACATGCTGCGATCTCTGACTGTAGCTATTAATCAAGGGTGCAGCTTCTTAAAATGAATTGGGGGCCTGAGCAGTGAAAAACGAGACAGCCCACCCCAAATATACCCCATCAAACGGGCCCCTTTCGAATTCGGCCCCCTTTCTTCTAAAAGCTGTGATGGGGGAGGGGGGGTTCAAGCCCCATCCAACTGAATAGGACACTACACCCCTACATCAGCTCGTTATAGTGGCACTACCTCCTCGCCATTTGCTTGCTATGAAAAACATGCATTTTGTATTTGATCTCTACCCTTTACTTGCCTGCAGTATTGAGCCCAGATTTAACATGCGTCATGCCTACAGATCCAAAGGGCAATGGCCTTCCACTCAGACAACAGGTTTATACGAAACTGAGTCATTTTGCAGGAATTCGTCTCAACTTGCGAGGCTTGGAAAAAATCAACATTTGATCACGCTGAGGACAATTCTGGACATGCATCGGCCGTTACTATGGTTGTGCGGATGTACTCTGTCAGCACATGCCTGTGCAACTACGCACAAAATCGAAGCAGAAAGCAAACGAAAGCCAGCGAACAAGTGTGTGTGCTGCGCCCCCCCCCCCCCCCCCCCCCCCCCCCACCCCCGTGTGCCGGCTCCGACGCGGTTTGCTGACATAAAGCGTTAATGGATGGAAGAGAACGTATAGTTAAATTCAGCCGGAATGAGATGGGGCAGTAAGAATCCATCGCACACGATCACATGTGAGCTTCCCAGAAGTCTCCAGGAATCGCAAAGCTTAAAAATAGAACAGACCCGCCCTCCCATGGCTCGTTGCCAATAAATGCCGTACGACGCAGACGAAATGCCCACAGAGTAAGATTCTGTAAGCGTAAAAAAGATGCTACTCACCTTTTACAAGGACAGCCAATATCGTTCGAATTATTTTCGAATCCACCAGATTCGAGCTTCTTTCGTCCACCTTTCGTCTGCACCCAACATCCGCTAGCGCAACTCGCACCCGTCGCCCCTCATCGTTGTCGTCCTGGTAACGCCGCCAAAGTCGGCCAATAGATGGCGGGGTGGCCGCGCAGCAGAACCCGGCAACGGATGAAACAGCAAATATTACTATCACTGTACAAGAAGTTTCTAAGTAAAATTTAACAGGCACCTTCAATTAAACATCAACCAGAAAGAATGTGCATTGTAGCACCAATGACTCCTGTAAGGATGTAGGGACCGAAGGGCGTGAAGAAAGGTTGGAATACAAGGCTCCTAAATTTGGCTTCGTGTTGTATCTGATTGTGATTGATGAGATCAAGCATAAAGTGTTACGGGAAAGAGCATTGAAGGATGGGTTAGACAGCGGATAATTCAGAATATCTAAAATGAAGGGAGGACACCCTGTTAAATTATGTTTTTAGGTCCAAGTACGCATCGTGAGTGTATGTTTGTAGCAGATGCGCTGTATTAGCGTCATCATTAGTTTGTTTACAATTTTGCATTTTTCCAAAGCGTGACCGTTGTGTATTGCAGGGTACGTAGGGCATTGCGCTAAAGGAAAAAGGCAGCGTGATCTTCGGCCAACTGCAGTCTACATCAGATGTAATTCCTGCTTTTGCTCGTTTTCTTTAGCGGAGATGGATAATAATTTCACGCTTATTCCTGTTCTGTGCGCGATGTAGTGTGGTGCGGTCAAATGTTAAGAAACTTTTTGAAATCCGTCGGGAGGCTGCAATACCATGTTGAACTTTTGCAGTAACATACAAACTGTGTAAAATGTGCTCTGCTCTGCATTGAAATCATGTCACAATGGTTGATCACAAACCTGGATATAATCCTTGTTATTTGCAGCAACATGAGATAAGTACTTGTCACCCTTTCTCAGTTGCCACACACTTTTTGTCACAGCACTGGAAAATAACCAATTTCAACACATTGATGTTCCCCTGATAGCTCCCTCTGATTTCAGGCACAGAAAATGTCACTGTTTGAAATGTATGAAGCCTCACCATGTGAAGATGATCAATTTGGTGATGTGTATTGCCCCAAAGAGGATCCACTCTACCTTGGAGGGTCACCTATCCCCATGCCTGGTACATCATATTGGCAAAGCTATGATTGTTTGTTTTCTCTTTGATGATCTGCACTGCAATCCATGTATTCATTTACCAGTAGCAATCAGCAGAAGACATACTGTCACACTCACTGGTTAAATTTTGTTATTTATGATGCGTTTGTTGAGGGATGCATTGAAATGTGGTTTAACTTGAGTGCTTCCATTTTCCCTCGAAGTTCAGTCCACTATTATGTATTTTGTACTGGGAATTTACTCCACTTTGAAGAAATCTTTAACATTACAATATTTTGATCATTTGTGACAAAGAATAAGCGTGAATGGCAGAAAATGTCTGGCACAACTGCCATACTCCCATATGATGTTCAAGAGGGAAAGCAACAGTCATTTTCAAGGGCACAGCTCCTTTGCAGACAGCAGTGTCCTGAAATTTTTGGATTTTCTGTCATATAACAGTGAATTGTGTACATCTCCCAAGCATATTCTTGAGTTATTTCTCTCTCTGTGGCCATATCAGGCTGCATGCCCAATTTCTGTACATGTTTTAGAAATATGTAGTTTATAATAGCATTTTGTCACAAAATTCACTTTTTCTCGTTTAGTAGTTCTGCCTGGTGGCGGTGGGACGAAAGTTATCAGTGTTAAAACTGACCGGTAGATGGCACAACCTGGGGGATTCCGCCGCCGGCCAGCTTGCCGCTGACAATAAAGTTGGGAGTGGCGGATTTGCCATCGCCGCAGCCGAGCCCCTCTCGGGCTTCGGCTCGGCTGCCAACACCGTCCTCGTCGCCACCGTCGCCACCAGTTCCTGAACAGGTAGACTTTCAACGTCGTTGCTCTATCCGTGGGATTAAAGACGCTGCTGGGCCGAGTCTGCTAATTGTAGTGTCGCGCACGTACACAATATGCAGACTAATACATAAGCATGCCAGCAATTGAATTTGCGCTAAGTTCTGCAAGTTTAACCTAATGGAGTGTGCCGTCTCTGGAGGCTATCGCAAATTTGGGAGAAACGCCAGTTGGCAGTTTCCATTACAATTTTACTGAAAAGTGCGAATGGTGGTCACATTTTGGAGAAGCGTAAGGGGCGATACGAGCTGCGAAAAACATGTTGTCTGTCTGTACTAGAATTTCATTCGATACTATTAGGACCATCGGTATCAAGCCAAAGCCGTTTTAAATCCCAGACCCAAATCTTCAAATATGATGTCTTTCGAAAGGCATGCTGATAGACATATAAATATTATCCAGTCGCGTGTAACTAACCTTTCTTGTCGTACACGCGAGGCGCTTGTGGCAGTTGAAAGGAACCCCGAGAGAACTAAAAACTTAAAATGAAAGCTTCGCTTCACAAGACACGTTTTAGAAAACCTTGTTCACAGCGTGTGGGTCGACCACGCCTATTTCCCCCGTACGTGTACAAATTTTGACCTAGCTTGTGGAACTGTCCGTTTGATGCATACGAAGAAAGCTGCGAGTATCGGTCAGTGTCATGTCTGTCAGCCGTGATCCGATGTGCTCACCACTGCCGTCTTCCGGCCGGCAGCAGCCACGAGCGTCATGTTCAATACCGGGCGAGGAGTGGCGCGCGCGGCTGCGGCAGTACGCGGCGAGCGGCCGTTGGCCCGTGAATCGTGGACGCCGGCCCGGCCCCCAGCACGGTCACTGGAGGGAGGAGCTGCTCAGGGTACGGTCGGCGGTGGGTGGAAGGGAGGGGGTGGTGACACTGAAGCATGGACGCCGGCCCGGCCCCCAGCACGGTCACTGGAGAGAGGAGCTGCTCAGGGTACGGTCGGCGATGGGTGGAAGGGAGGGGGTGGTGACACTGAAGCATGGACGCCGGCCCGGCCCCCAGCACGGTCACTGGAGAGAGGAGCTGCTCAGGGTACGGTCGGCGATGGGTGGAAGGGAGGGGGTGGTGACACTGAAGCATGGACGCCGGCCCGGCCCCCAGCACGGTCACTGGAGAGAGGAGCTGCTCAAGGTACGGCCGGCGATGGGTGGAAGGGAGGGGGTGGTGACACTGAAGCATGGACGCCGGCCCGGCCCCCAGCACGGTCACTGGAGGGAGGAGCTGCTCAGGGTACGGCCGGCGATGGGTGGAAGGGAGGGGGTGGTGACACTGAAGCATGGACGCCGGCCCGGCCCCCAGCACGGTCACTGGAGGGAGGAGGCTGTCAGGGTACGGCCGGCGATGGGTGGAAGGGAGGGGGTGGTGACACTGACTGCTAAGGGTACGGTCGGCGATGGGTGGAAGGGAGGGGGTGGTTGACACTGAAGCATGGACGCCGGACCCGGCCCCCCAGCACGGGTCACTGGAGGGAGGAGCTGCTCAGGGTACGGTCGGCGCTGGGTGGAAGGGAGGGGGTGGTTGGACATGCACGACGCATGGACGGCCGGCCCGGACCCCAGCACGGTCACTGGATGGGAGGAGGCTGCTTCCGGGGTTAACGGTTCGGCGTATGTGAGTGGAAGGGAGGGGTGGTGACACTGAAGCATGACGCCGGCCCGGCCCCCAGCACGGTCACGGAGGGAGGAGCTGCTCAGGGTACGGTCGGCGATGGGTGGAAGGGGAGGGGGTGTGACACTGATGCATGGACCCGCCGCCGGCCCGGCCCCCAGCCACGGTCACTGGAGGGAGGAGCTGCTCAGGGTACGGCCGGCGATGGGTGGAAGGGAGGGGGTGGTGACACTGAAGCATGGACGCCGGCCCGGCCCCCAGCACGGTCGGCCGGCGATGGGTGGCTTACTACTGCACGCGACATGGCTGGCAGCGTAGAAGCGAAAACCTTGACGACAAAATGGAAATATCTTTGGCAGCGTTGCGCTCCCTTGGCTCGGACTGTATGCCTTAGTAAATCACACCCCAGTAGTGACCAGAATATTTACGTCTAAAAAAAGGGCAGGCTTTTGACTCAGGAGCGGGCGTGATACATGTATGCAGCCATTGATTGGTGCTACCAATGCGGCTTACACAATGTAGCACTATGTGACCGCTTGAGTTATCAGACGGTAACCAAGTATGAACGTTACGTACTGCGCAAACTGAAGACACTGTGAGTTAAGAGCTCTTAGGTTGAGTTACCAGCCTTCAGTATACCGGAGTGGCATGTTGAAGGTCGGAACTCAACATGAGAACTTTCAACTCGTAATGTCGAAAAACCCGGAGCTGAAGGCCTCTCTTTTTACATCAAGCGCAACTGAAATTACAGACTGTTTTCGCACCGCGCTCCCTTTCTTCATGAATTACACACACACACACAAATATATATATATATATATATATATATATATATATATATATATATATATATATATATATATATGAAGGAACGTCTGTTAACCTGCCGTGGCACTTCACTCAATCACCCGCAAACTATTTCAGGTGACCAAGTGTCCCAGGCATATGACTCGGTTAAGACAGGCACTGGGCTGCACAACAGAGGTGCCATGCGAATGCGGCTACCATGAGGTGAGTGGGACGCAGTTCTGATTCGTTGCGTATGGGTGGAATACCTGTATCATATGTATATCGTTTCTGGTACGTGTTGGGGGATACATCCGTGGCGACGCTGGTTGCTTGTCTATGAGCGGTTCAATATATCGCTTTCGGCGCTGCGTATTTCAACAATTACGGAAGATAGTGTGTCCATTTAGTGTTGTTTTGGGGACTGGTTTTTGCAACGGCTGCGTGTGCAATTTTTGTTTGTGTTTCCGTTTTGTCGCCGGAGCACTAGACTTGAAGATGTTTTTTTGGTTTGAACCGCGGTAGACAATGACTATCCGAGGGAATGGGCAAATCCACGGCCTCCATGGAAAAATTTTAGCGTTTGTTCAAAGCGTGTGACTGATTGGCTGCTCGAGGCTATACATTGATGGTAGCTTGCTGCGCAGAATACTGCACGCTGCTAGATGAGTTGTGTCCCACAATTGGGAAAGCATTGGGCATTTTGCCCGAACGTTGTTACAACACCTAAGTTTCCGCACGGACATTCTTCGTAAAGGCGTTGTCCATATGCAGGCGACGATCCAGAAGCGGTCGCTAGCGAGGCCTTCCGCTAGCGAGGAGGACCGCAGTCGTCCGGGGAGCCGACCCAGCGACGCTCGCTCAGAGGACGTCGAGGACGCCTCTTATGAGTGTGCCGGCGGCGGCGACGAGGCCACCCCGCTCGGTTCTGCAAAGCTGGAGGAAAAATCGCAGCTGTCGGCTGGTTAGTGTGGCTTTCTAGTAGGTCGCCAGCCAAGCCGGTATGCCACGTACCGTTGTAGTACATCACAAACAAGACTGGCTGTCGCGAGAACAGCGGGCGTGTCGCCAGGCGGGCCAGTGTGCTGCGGCTCGTGCGCATGAGCTACAGGGCGGGCCCGTTTTCTATAGCTCACGGGGCACCGCAGGGCTGGCGAAGGTCAAAAGTACATCGATTGGTTGGCAAAGTGCTGCACGAAGCAGAAATGCGTCAAATGAAGGAATTCTGAGGCAGAAAGTGCGGATTAACCCTTCACATACCGCTGTTAGGGACGTGCGGAGACTGGTCCTGTCGGGTAAGGACCTGTATCATAGTTTTCGTTCCAGAAAACTGCTTCGCTCCGTTTTTGTTGCACCGCAGTTGCATTTTTTGCAGTGAAATTGGTTGTCGCTGATAATGCAAGAATAGCCAAGAATAACTGGGCTGTTGCAAGGCCCCTGGCATTGGACCAAATGCCAGAAACCGATAGTTTTTGCCGACCTCGCAAAACGAACTTTGTTAAAGTAAGGAGAGGTTGGGGGGTTGAACCCTGCATTTGGGGTTCCGGTGGTATGAAATTATTATGTTAACTGCTAATGTTTTCTAACATTTCCTCCTTTCAGTTTTCTTTAATGTATATTTGAAGCCTAATTCACGGCTGATTCTGTCTGCTCCAGAAGCTGACCAGCACCATGAATTGCGGCAAGTTGATGTTGCGATACACTCGCCTAGTGTCAAGACTGAGCCCATGCCTGCCGAAGACGTCACAAGGCAGTACGCGGACCATGTCCCTCAGGGAGAGACGCTTCCATCGGAGAGACGCGACCCGGAACCGGTCCGAGCTGCGGAATATCCCCCCGCATATACCTCCGTCGTCCTGCTTCTCCTGCCTCCAGACGCCATGGCACCGTACCGCTGCCAGGTCTGCGGGGATTCGTTCTCCTCTCAGGCTTCACTCAGTGCCCACGGCCGCTCTCATACCCAAGCGCGCCGTCTGCCCGTATGCGACGTCTGTGGGAAGGTATTTGTCGACAGCGCGAGCGCCTCGCATCACCGCCTGTGGCATGCGAGGCAAATCAGGCCGCGTGATCGCTACATGTGCGATTATTGCGGCAAGTTGTACGCCTCCTGGGCGTCCCTCAGCGGTCACTACAGCAGGATGCATGCGACTGGTAACGCCCGGAGGCTGATCATGCCGAAGAAGTACAGATGTGAGAACTGCGGGCGGCGTTTTCGTACCGGGGACGACCTCGCCAGGCACCGTCGGTTCGAAGCAGGAGTGCTGTACGGGTGTGAGATATGCGGCAAGTCCTGTTCCGACGAGCTCGGCCTCGATCGCCACCGGCGCACCCACACCACCTGCGCTCCGTTTCCGTGCAGCGTGTGCAAGAAGCTGTTCGGTACTGTCGCGGACCTCTCGCAGCACTACCGCCAACATCCCGGCCCCAAGTCAATCGTGTGTGAGGTGTGCGGGGAGGCCTTCCTGGAGAAGTCACATCGCACAGAACACTATCGGATCCACATCGAGGACAGGCCGTTTAAGTGTGATGTGTGCGGGAAGGAGTTCCGGCTGAGGAAGCAGCGGACTCGACACATGGGCTCGCATGACGAGACAGCCTCGTGCTAGCACGGCACCGGGGATTCCACGTCAGTGGGTAGTGACGCAGCAGCCTCGTGCTAACACGGCAGCGTGAATTCCACGTCAGTGGAGTGATGACGCAGCAGCTTCGTGCTAACACGGCAGCGGGGATTCCGCGTCAGTGGAGTGATGACGCAGCAGCTTCGTGCTAACACGGCAGCGGGGATTCCACGTCAGTGGAGTGATGACGCAGCAGCCTCGCACTAACACGGCAGCGGGGATTCCACGTCAGTGGAGTGGCGACGCAACAGCCTCGTGCTACCACGGCAGCGTGGATTCCGCGTCAGTGGAGTGGATCAAGCCGGTGCTTTGCTTACCGGACGTCGCGTTGGCCCTTCCCATTGAGGGACGCAGTATGTTGTCTTTCATTTTAGAGTAAGCTGATTACCGACGGTTGTTTCTGTGCTACACGCCCCGCCCAGCAAATCTGCGTCAACTAACCTAGATAGAACTCCTGGTTATGAGTTCGTACTCGGTGCTCAAGCGAAGGCGTGATGTTTACGTTCTTCCACAGTTATGCTTTTTGCTGTGCATTTCGACATTTTCAACATTTCACTGTATAGCACAAAGGGACCGAATGGTAATTTAGTGTTTGCACTGTGCAATGTATGTGATATTACGTATATATTGATGTCAAAGTAGCTTTGTTGTTAATCTTCCCGCCTGCTATTTTTGTGACTTCCGTCGTAGGTTCCACAAATTAAACTCTTTAAAATTCAATTTTTCCAAACTACTGCAATTCCATTTGGAACCCGAAAACGCGCAAGTACGCGGCTGCAAATATTGCCAGCAGCGATGTGAGTTCGTGGGGCCAAGTGCGTGATAGGCTGGCGAGCCTTACCACATACAGTTAGGCCCAAAGCTGAAGCTCTATAGCGTGAATCCCCTTCACGTAGAAACATCAGACACTGCAAAACTGGAGGGACTTAGAACACGTTTGGGTTGGAAGACAACCTCTTCAGATGGTAGTAAATTTACCCTAGATTCATTGCTTCTGAGACATGCCGGAAGAATTCGTTCAAGATGGAGTATCACTGCGCAGGCTTACCGCGGCCCGTATATAGTGTTTTGCAATTAGACTGGTTGGTTCAGTCACTTGTCAGAGCACTAACTGGACCTCCGGATCAGCCTGCAGCCTGCTTTGCCCCGCCGATGGGGCAGGGTTCGGGACCCGGGTCAACAGACTTCGTCTGTCTCTGCTGCGGTGGAACAGCGCTGAGTGATGCGCTGTCCGAACGTCAGTCCCGGAGGATGGATGCTCCTGGCCGACAAACATGTCGCGGTGCCAGCTGGTAAGGAGTGACACGCTGTCTGGACGTCAGTCCCGGAGGATGGATGCCCCTGGCCGACAAACATGTCGCGGTGCCAGCTGCTAAGGAGTGACACGCTGTCCGGACGTCAGTCCCGGAGGATGGATGCCCCTGGCCGACAAACATGTCGCGGTGCCGGCTGGTAACCTCACATCACTGTGATCAAGCGCAAGGGGCTGCACTCGACGTGCACGATTTTCACTAGCATTTAAAAGGCTGCGTTATGTTTGCCAATACGCCCGCACCCGGCCGATCGCATTCAGTTGTGGGCAGCTGCGGCATCGAATCAACATCGCGGCTGCTTTTGGCCGATGGCCAGTTTCCAATAACAGGCCATAGCCCGGCCACATTGTTGTAATATGGGCACGGTCGCACCTTCCTGCCTACGAGAATGATCATGCTGTTCCGTTGAGGTGCTTTTCCAGATCTCTGGTCACTCCGGCCGCCGGCCTCTAGTGATCCGCTATCAGGCAGTCAACCCAACAAAACGGCTTCCCTCTGCCTACTGGCATGGTCCGGTGCCAGGCCATCATCTGACAACGGCGCTATCAAATGTGCTCGTGATTAATCTTTGCGTGATTGATTGTCAAAAACGTGCCTGTATGGTCGTCACCACGCTCCCGGCCGGTCGACAGTATACAACAATATGCTGACAGGGATATGTGAAGCTATCGGTATCGGTGTAGGCGATAATTAAATTATGTCCCCAATCGATATCCTCCCACAGTGCCATCATATGTAGCAGGTCGATTCTGCTGCAAACGACAATTATTTTGCTTTTTGGGGGTGAAGGGGGAGGGGGGCGCTGCCGTAATTTGAGAAATTAACGCTGGAGTCACACCGCCAGCATTAAGCAAAGCGCTGTCGTCTGCTCAATCAAGTGAAGTGGAGATCCGCGGTTGACAGGCACCTTACGGTTCTAGCTGCTGGCCCTGAGGCAGCGCAATCATAGGCTGACGATCATGCTCTCCGGGCGGGGGTAAAGGCACTTTTCAAAGGGTGTATGTTCACCTACGCTTACAGCTGGCCGGTCGCACCCAATAGTGCGACTTCAGTGGGACATAACCAAAATAGCTGCTGGTTGCCGAAAACCATGCGTTTTCAGTGGATACCCATCGCACCGTTCTACCATATGCGCCGGTTGCACCCGCTGCGCAAGACAAGAAATGTTTGTATTTGACTTCCGTGTAGTCGCAAAAGCTCATGAACCACGCCGCGGCAGGCCCGTCAGCAACAAGTTACCGCTGCCGGGGGTCTCCCAGTGACATGAGTACCACAGACGGCCGGATGACATCGTGTGCGCACGATCGCACCTTCCGCACACAACCATATGCGGCTTTAATTGGGGCAAGCAAATCTGCAAATCGTTGTTGCAACCCGACCAGCAGCATCGATTTATGCACTGCCAGGGGTTCAACCAATCAAGATGGGTGCCTGTCTCGGACAAGGACACTGCAGCGGTAGTTAATGGCTGTACGGCAGCGCAATGAAACGGCCGAGGTCGAGCTATTCGCAAGGAGTATGATTAGTTTTCCCAGGCCGCCGTCCGCTGGCTAATGCGCTACAGGCTATTTGGCAGCATTTAGTGCTGTGCCGTCAGGGAAAAAGCTATATCCGCTGATGGCCGATTTATATTGTCGGCCTATAGGGCTCCCACAATGACATCGTGTGCGCACTATCACTCAAGCCACGGAAGACAATAAATAGGTTATTTTCGTCCTTAAATACGGGCGTATTTTAAGTGTTATCAGTCTCCACTGCGGCCCGCCCGATAGTATTCAGCGCTGTCAGAGGTGAGCCGAACAGAATGGCTACTTCGATCAGACAAGTACGCGCAGCGCCAGCCAATCTCCCTACACCAACGCTATCGAATGTGCACGGCCGCTTTCTTCGCGCCCAACTAGACGCATTTATCCCTGGCGGCTGTATGCTGTTCATCGCGTTGCATCTAGTAATGCGCCGTTAATAGGTCCTAAGAAATCGTGATGCCAGCGATGACCGACCTTAACTTCTGGCTGAAAGTGCTCCCATTGGTGTCCATGGTATGACGTCTTGAGCATACGGTCGCACCCGCCGCGTACGCCAATTCGCATTGCAAGATGGACTCCGTAACGCTGCCAACATCTGCGGCCTGGCCGCCAACATCGAGTGCTGCGCTGTCAGAAGAGAAAAACACAAATGGACGCCTTCATCTGACAAATGTGCTGCAGAGGAGGCCATAACAGCGGTAACGACTGACTTGGTTGTACTCCTCGCGCTGTGGTGCGTGACTCGTGGTCGCTCAGCGTGCCCCTGGTGTTAGAAGCCCGGGTGGGGTGCGAGACGCACCGGAAGTGTACCTTGGCCGCGCGCCGCGCATGCGCCGGCCCGGTAGCTCCGCCCCATTTTCTTGGCAGACCTCTGCACCGACGCTCCGTTAGCAGAACACCAATAAACCAGATTCATACTTCGTCTACTGGCCTTTGCACCCATACCCAGGCTCCGATTTTTCGCTACATTTAGGGATAGCGTTGTTCTGGTAAGTCCCAAATCTGTGTTTGTAACTTGTTCTTTTGTAACTGTCATGCTTTCTACACATCAATCTGCGGCCCCTTCCACGTAGCGAACTTAACAATCCATTCGTTTTCTTCTTTTGTGCCTTTATGTTATAGTTCCTACCTTATCAAAGTTATTACCCAGGAGATTCGAAGGGCATGTGCACTCACAACGTGGCCGGGTGTCATTACTTTAAAAGTTACCAAATTTGAATTAGGTGGACATGCGGAACAACTGGTCCACAACCTTCGCAATTTAAACCATGCACCTTCCTTGAACATTTTTGCGATTTGCTACGCACTTTCTACTGACCGGCCCGTGTCTTCTCGATTGCACGACTTGATGACGTGCGCACAACACCCCCCCAAGTTAGTGGACGCTTAAGCGCATCAGATTGGCAACGAAGTAAGATCCGTAACCGAGTGGGACGCTACACTTCAAACCCAAAATTTTAAGAACCGCGCAGTGGCTGCTGCTTTTGTCAAAAGCCTAAAGCCATCCATCTGTCATTTGGCATTCCTAAGAATCCTTCACATTTTGATTCTACAGTTACTCTGACTCGCACCCAGCACTTCTTCCCTCTCCTGTTCGGACTGAGACACCGGTCGTTTCGCCTTCTGAGCTAACCATGCATGACATGCAACGCAGAGCTGTTCGTCGGGAGCTACCGGGAGCTCAAGCTCCAAATCCTGGTCAAAATTCAAACCGGGATCGTGACAAATTTAGCCAGCGAAGAGGTTACCAAGAGCACGGTTTCACCCCCTCCGCCCTTCTAACTTCTTTCTGCCGCCAGAAATCCGTCCTATGACCGACGTACATCCATCCCCAGCCCACCGTTTCGTTTGCCCGGCCCGACCGGCGTCAGTCAGACCGGTACCGACGTCACCAGAGCCCAAACACGTACCGCCCACAGCGCTAGATGAGACGCCAGCGTTTGTGAACATGGCTTCAGAGAGATCGAAACGTTTCCTGTTCCTCCCATTTTGCACGTCACCACCGCTCCTTAAAGAGGTTTGGTTTTTAATGCTGCTGGATTTATCGTCTGCCTGATTAGGAGCATTTTCTGGTGTCGAGCAACACACTGTTTCGCTCAAAGATTCACTTCTCCATTTAGGGTGTTGCTGGCCAGAAAATTGACATGTTGTGAAAAGCTGTTTTGCCAATTAGAATCGTTAATCGTAGCGTGAGCACAAATTTTACGTCTCATCCGAAAACCGGTAATTTGATTGTAATGCCATTCTTAACATCAATTTCGTCATTCGCCACCAAATTTTATTTCCGGCCAGCAACCGGGGTAGTATTTTGCTTTTATGTGTCTCGTCTTGTTTGAAAACTTTGTCAAAACAGTTGAGTCTGAAGCATCATAAGAAAAGTCGTTTTTTCCTCAAAATAGACAAAACTTCCTCGCAAAGTCATCTTTTCGACGACTTGTACACGGAGGACCAAAGCTCTGTTAGCAGAGCTTAGCGGAGCTTTTCTGTTAGCAGAGCAGAGCAAAGGCTCTGTTAGCAGAGTACCAGAAGGCGCGATTCAGACTCCCCCTGTCGGCCTCTCGACCAATGCCCCCGACTCCGATCCGATAGCGCGCGATGGTAAGAATATAGTTCTTGCTACCAAATACTCACATGAACAATAAAAGCGATGTCGAGCGGTAGCCGATTTACACTGCCGCCAGATAAAGCTCACACGATGACATTGTTTGCACATGGTCGCGCCCGCCGAGAACAGGAATGAGCAATTGATTGGACTCCGTAACTGTGCAAACAGCCGCTTCGGCCGGCCAGCCAACATTGAGTGTTGCGCTATCAGCTGGTCAACCAAAAAAACATAGACCCCTTGGTTGAACAGCGGTGTTGCGGCGGCAGCGGATAAAACCACTGTAGAGCTATCGATTGCACACGGCCCCACTCTTCACGTGCGATTATAAGTATTTTTCAAGTTTTGTCTTATGCTGGCTACCATGGTACAGGCCGCCCAGATAATATCCCCCCCCCCCGCATTTACTAATGCGCCTTCAGCGGATCATATCAGACTTCATCAGAAGAAAACGCGTGATGGCAGCCGACGGGAGATGTACATTGCCGTCTCACCGATGGCATCATGTACACGCGGTCGCACTGGCGGCGCATAATAATAGGCATATAAGACTGCATCCAAAGGCTGATAATCGCTAGTGAGGTCGGCCCGCCGGCATGGAGTCATGCGCTGTTTGGATTCAAGTGAATCGTGCATGCATGAGTACGTACATCCATGCATGGTATATTTACGCATGTACCCATGCATCCACTACATCCGCGTTACACGTTCTATGCGTGATACGTACCACATATAATATGGTTGCCATACTCAGAAAAGTGCATAGCAGTAGAAGATATTGGAGCCACAGCAAGCCTAACGGACGTACGGGATCGCTTTCTCCCCGCGTCACCCAGAGTATGCTTCCTGGACGACCGTCTCATGGCGACCACGCTGCGGTCCGACCGGCCGCGCTCGCGCCGTCATGTACCGTGCCATGTGAACATTAAAGATCATATCTGCTGATCTCCGATTCATATAGTGTCACCCGATAGTGTTCCCCACGTTGACACTGTGTGCACACGATCGCGCCCACTGCCATGAAGATGATTAAGTTAGTTGGATCCCGTAACTTTGTAAAGTACGGCTGTGGAGGAAATCGAAAGAAGAGTGATGCTCTTTCTTACGTTCAACCAAATAAAATGGATGCCTTTATCGGACCAATATGTAAAAGAAGCAGGCGACAACCATACAGCAGCGCTTTTAAACACACAGTGCCGCACTCTTGGCGCAACCACGCACCATCATAAACATTTTTACTGGGTCGCCGTATCATGTTCATCACGCTTCCAGCTGTATATAGCAATGAGTCAAGCGTGGGTAAGAACAAAAAAGGCGATGCCTGCCGAAGGCCGATTTTCAAAGCCGGTCGATAGTGCCCTCACAATGATATCGTATGCAAATGATCGCTCTCGCCGCACACTTGGCACACGTGGCCGCACATTTGGCACACGTGGCCGCACCTGCGGCCACGCACAAGTGAGTGATGCTCCGGCAACAGGTGGACCAATTAGAATGGATTAATTTACTTGATAAATTGATTAAGATGGATTAATTAACTGACCGATTAACTGACCGGACAAGCGAGCTGCAGTGCAGCTGATGGCACTGGGGCATCGCCATCGAATGCGGAGGGTCGCAGTCTTCGCGCGATTGGAAACCTTTGTCCTGGGCCGCCGAATGCTCGTCATCACTCACGCGCTGGCGGTCCACACTGAGCCCCCCGTGAGTGCCGTCGGGGGTCAAATCAAGGACAAAAGTGAAGTCGGACAATGACAGAATTCGTCGCTGACCGAAAGTCCTCCGCAATGATATTGTGCAGGCACGGTCTGGCCCGCCGCTCACGGAAGAAGTATGTCAAATCGGGCCCCGGAGCTTTGCAAAGCTTTGAGGGACCTCTGGGCATCATTGAGTGATACCCTGTTAGGACGTAAATCGATGCCTTGACTTGAAATGTGTACTGCAGTGGAGGCTGCTAGTCCCGAATCAGGCTATTGAATGCACACAGTCGAACTCTTCACGCACGGTATTTTGAGAAGTGTTTTTCTTTATAATATACCAAAATTTAGTATTGCACTAAAATTCATAGGCATTTTTCTGTGCTGCCGTATACTAAGTGAGCGTTATGGCACGCGCCAGTCGACCCCATCCACTTATGTGCCGTCAGGATAAACAAACATGGTGATGTTAACCGCTGGCCAATTTACATTGCCGCCTTATAGCGCCCCACAATGACATGGTATGAACGCGGTTGCAACCACCGCGAACAGGTGTGCAGTTTTTTTTATTGAACTCAGTAAATGTGCGATTTCCCGCCCGCACTTAATTTTGCAGGTTCATTTCGCACCTTTCCTCCCATTGATAGGGTCCATTTGGTGCCCACCGAAAGGCGTGTAGTTTCATGTCATGAAGAGTTCACATAAAATATTTGCCTGCAATAGACCATATAGACATGATAGCATTCCATGGGTTTCGTTACTGACCATCCTAGTTTTCATGCAATTCTGACTTGGTAGCAAGATCGCGGGCTTTTTAATCCCACCAGCCTGCAGAGGACCATTACGACCAATCTTCTGAAGTGTAGGCACGCGTGCAGCAGCGTGGCCTGGGCTCTGCCGAACCCCACACCCAGGTGACTTGCACGTGCACAGCGGCGCGCCTGTCGCCGGGAGGAGGGGGGGGGGGGGGGAGCTGACTCAGCAGATCCTGGGCCGGGTCACGTGATGTGGCCATCTGGCGTAGCAATAGCATCCGCCCAGCGCTCTGACCTTGGCCGGCCGCGGTACAAAGCTGCCGCCGTGGCAGCCAGGACGTAACGTCACCCCTGTTATGCTGAAAATGACGTGCCCAAAAACGCTGCAGTGTATTTGCCTTCAATGAGTTTCTTGCTGTAGGGGGAAAACCTTACAGAATTGGTAAAACACGCAAAGAAAAAACTGGCAAAGAAAAATATAAATATATGATGAGCGTGCCGAAAAAGGTAGGCTCGGATGTCATCTGCACAGTCTAACTCTGAAAGGAGTTAGGATTTTCAGTTTTTCTATCTTGATCTGAGCCAAGCTTGATTAAAATGCTTTATGATGTTTTTCGCCTCCCCTACCCAGTGCAGCGCGTGGGACTGGGACTGAAACTATTTGCGTGTGGGAGTGGTGCTCCAGAAGGGCGCAGCTGCAATTGATGACGGGGAGAGGTGTTACCGCGTCTTGCAACGGGGGGGGGGGGGGGGGTATGAGCGGGTCCCAGCCCCATTTACGGTACCTACGCTCTGGAAACCGACCAACAGACCCTTTACAGGCTGACATGCACCGTGCCCACCGGATAAATGAGCTATCAATGTTGTTTTGCCCTGTTGCCTTTAACAATTGATTCAGGTGCTTACCACACATCGTCACTCGGATATCCACCACCATTGTTGCTGAACCGCGTCTGTTGGACTGCACATGCTACTGTCCATACGAGTGCCCATGAGATTAAAACCAAAATAGTCTTGCTGATCATCGGGTTCTGGAATTATATTCAGCACTATCGAGGTGAAAGCTGTGCTTGAACCTTCCTGAAGATGGGAGCTGAAGATCCATGGCCCCCTCCCTTCGTCTGCGCCACTGTTGGCACTACTTATACCTATGAACTCAGCACTGTAGACTGATAGCACGGATATCCGATTTTTTATTTCACGTTCTCCGAGCTTATCAGCAGCCTTACCGTTGTTCAGCTCGGTCAGTTTTCCGTATCCTTAAATTTGTGCGTGTGATTGACCACGCATTTTGGAAGTGCGTCGGCTAACCTGTCACTGTGGGCTGGATCTGCTCTCAGTCAGTTGATACCGACTAAGGTCGCGGGCACAATCATCGCAGTGCATCACGCAGAATGTGGATTGGCTAAGACAGTGCTTGCCACATCAGCGGGCAGCCGTCCCCGCCCGGAACAGACGACAGACGTGAACGCCCCTGCCCGCAGCCCTGGGTCCGCCTCTGGTGGCGACCTTTGGCGGCTGTCTCGCCTCGGCCGGCGGGACCGACGCTGACAGTGCGCTCGAAGCCAGCGCTGCGTCCGACCCAGCGCAATGGGGTCCGCCATGCTGCTGCTGGCGCTGCTGGTCCTGCTTCTCTTCCTGCTGTACAAGTATTTCACACGCACGCACGGTACGTTGGAGCGGCTTGGCATCCCTACCATCAAGCCGTACCCCTTCGTCGGCTCCCTGGTGGCCGCGGACGGCGGGGAAGACGTGGCTAATGCCCGCCGCTTCGGCCGAGTGTGGGGCCAGTACGAGGGCATGATGCCGCAGATCTTCATCGGCGACCTCGAGCTGGCCAAGCGCGTGCTGATCACGGACTTTGACCACTTCACGGACCGACCCCTGCTGTTCGAGTTTGACATCGCCCGCGACATGCTCGACTTCCTGCAGGGGGAGCGCTGGAAGGTGGTGCGCTCCATACTGGCGCCGGCCATGACCTCGGGTACCAAGATCAAGGCCATGATGCCCACCATGAACGAGTGCCTTGAAGATGCGTTCCTGAGAGTGGACACCAAGCTGCGCAGCGGACCGCAGCTGCAGATCAAGGATGACCTGTTTGGCCCGCTGGTTCTTGACATCAGTGCGCGCTTCTCCTTCAGCATGAAAATTCCTAACCTCGACGATAAGAGCAGCACGTTCGTGAAGGCGGCGACGGCTTTCGGTCCGCTGTTCATTCCGAGCAGCTGGCTGGAGGGCGTGCTGCTGGCGTTTCCGGCCTACTTCAACTGGCGAGGCGCACGCCTCTTGCAACCGGCTCTGCGCTACCTGGTGCAGCTGCTGCGCCGTTCCATCAAGCAGCGACGGGCGGACGGCGTCACAAACACCGACCTCGTCAGCGCCATCACAGACGCCATCGACAACAGGGTGCCGACGCCCGAGTTCCGGCGGCTGGGCATCACAGAGGATGTCCTGCTGCTGCAGGGTGCCGAGCTGCTGATGGCCGCGTACGACACCACCGGCACCACGCTGGCCCTGGCGGCATTCCACCTGGTGCGCCATCCTGACGTATTGAGCCGCGCGGTGGAGGAGGTGGACGGCGCCGGCGAGCTGAGCTACGAAGCGCTGCAGCAGCTGCCGCTGCTGGAGGCCGTCGTGCAGGAGGCGCTGCGCCTCTCCAGCCTGATCACGCGTCACTTCCGGGTCTGCACGCGTGACTGGGAGTACGACGGCCTGCGCATTCCCGCCGGCACGGCCGTGCTCGTGCCGCTGCGCCCGTTCCACTTCGACCCGGAGCTGTTCCCGGAGCCGGAGCGGTTCCTGCCCGACCGTTGGCTGGGCGAGCAGGGCCGCCAGCTCGGCCAGTACAGCTGGATGCCGTTTGGCCTGGGGCCGCGCGCCTGCATGGGCCTGCGGCTAGCCATGGTGGAGTGTAAGTTTGTGCTGGCGCACCTCCTGCGTCGCTACACGATCGCGCCGCCGACCGGCGTGCGACCGGTGAAGGAAGGCGAGGCGGAGCCGAGCCCCGGCTACGATCCTGTCCTCATCAAGGTGGAGGAGAGATCAGACCGCTGAACACCGGCACGAACCGCGCTCTGTTAATCCTCACAGGACCGCGCTGTGGGAACCCTGACGGTGCTGAACTCTGGTAACCCGCACAGTGCTCAGATGCTGGCTTGCTTGGTGACGACAGTGTCTTGGAAGTGAATGGGATGAATAAGGAAGGTTGGCGGCCATGTGCTCATGGCGCCCCAAAGTCCAAACCCTTGGTAGATGCGACGCCGTTATATGGGGTGGCATATTAAAAACATTTGGTTAAAATGCTTCAACAAATAGCGGAGAGGGAACTGAACTGGGCTACAATTGTTCGCATGTTTGTTGTGCATTTGCGGAAATGCCTTCACCGGTCAAAATGTGGACTTTACAAAAGTAATGAATGCCAATGAGTGAATGTTAAAAACGTTACCCTTACCTTAAAAACCTCCGCCATTTCGATTCCGGACTAACAAACCATTCCCCTCTAAAGCTTCGTTAAGACCACCTGGCAGTGCGTCTTATGGCACCCCTGTCCATTTGAAACAGCTCCGCTCTCTCAAAATGCAAACCTAACAATGACACAACGTAGTCAGAACTGCTCTGATGTGTCCTCTTGTACCACTCGAGCAACGTTCGTCGAGCTGCTGCAGCTGCCGCGTGTCTCTGGACTGGGTTTGGGCGCTGTCCCTTTACGTTTCGCGCATCCAGCGAACGGAACTTAATACCTGCGGACGTGCGAGTGTCAGCAGTCGCGAGCAACGCGACCTTTATAGGCAATCTTGACCTTCTATCCGTCAATAGGCGAAATAAATTTTGCTGTGTAGTGTGCCGACTTCATCTGCCTTATCTGTTTTATGTACTGTGACTATTGCACGAGAGTCGACGTGGAAGCTGAAAAGCCCGCTTTGTGGAAGCTCCAAATACATACATTTCTACTCAGTTATCTAAGACAAATAATCAGAAACTATTGTGAGCAGTACCAAAAAAAAACCACAGCAACATTCAGTCATTCTGTCCTGCATCGCACTACGCCATCAGTCGCATGTCTGCTGCAGGGGCGGATCTAGCCTATAGTTTGTGTGTGGGGGGGGGGGGGGGGGGGGGCAACCGTTCGTCGCCAACTGGCTGGTGTGGGATCCGAGGTCCAGTGCATGGCGCCTCCCGCAAGTACCTAGTAGGGACACCATTCAAAACCGAAAAAAAACCAGAAAACTATCAAAACGTTGGCAATTAGATGAGCTGTGGCATACTTTTGTATCGACGCACTGAAAAAGGCAGGCATGCCGTATGACACTTCAAACGAATCCCTCTCTGACCCCAAAAGGACCGAGACCACGTACCACACTGCTTCCGCTGTGATCCCTACATGCTCCATATACAGTGCAGCCCATGCGTTACAAAGCACCTCGGCCGCAGCAGACTGAACACAGTCCGGTGCATTTGTCCCAAGATGGCTGCTGAGACCCCCAGCCGTTCACAGTTACGTGGTCCCGTCTATGCGTCATGAAGTGGTTGGCGGGATGCCCCTCCGCTGTAAGAGTAAAGCATCGGGAACCGAAATAGTGGCGTATCCGTCTTTCTTAGACCTAGCACGCTGCGCTGTTCAGGTACCTCGACGCCGTTAACGAGATGCAGCTCCTGCAGCACTGTGAGCGGCAAGCGTACCACCGTGGGCCTCCGTCATCCACGACTGCCCACGCCCGGGGGCGCGGCCAAGCAGAGGGAGCGGGGGATGGTGTCCCTCCCTTGGGCCCGCATTCTCCTTTTTCACCACAGATAGCTGCTGACAGACGGCTCAAAATTGGCGTGACGTGTTCTCGCCGAGCTCCTCCCCCCTCTAAGAAAATCCTGGCTGCGCCACGGCCCATGCCTCCTTAATCTTTATCCACGCCTCCGCGGCTCCTTAATCTTTATCCACGCCTCCGCGGCTCCTTAATCTTTATCCACGCCTCCGCGGCTCCTTAATCTTTATCCACGCCCCCGCGGCTCCTCAATCTTTATCCACGCCTCCGCGCCTCCCTAATCTTTATCCACGCCTCCGCGGCTCCTTAATCTTTATCCATGCCTCCGCGGCTCCTTAATCTTTATCCACGCCTCCGCGCCTCCTTAATCTTTATCCACGCCTCCGCGGCTCCACGCGCCCGTCAACAGGAGGATGGGCGCAGCGGCGCAGTTAACACCAGCGTGCCAGACTCGTGGCACTTCATACACGTTGAGTCCAGTGGCGCCAAGCGAACACAACGCACCAGCCCCGGCACCAGTGAACTGATGAAGACGGCGGTGGCGTTGGCTTCGTAACGAATGGGTCCCGCTCCCCTTCATCCCCATATCGCCGACGCGCATGTCGGAGCGGTATCGTGCTCGACGGATTTCAAGGTATCAACGTCACAGCTAACACCAGACGAACGAGATGTGGACGTTTGCTGGACATCAGCGCCCTTCATCACCAGCGTCAGGCGCCCACACACCTGAACTCCAGTCGCGCCATGCGTTCGTCGGTACCGGCCACACCAGCAACGGACGACAACGACGGTGACGAAGCCGCGTGTCTCGTTGAGTGGTTCGAATGGAGTTGCCGCATCCTTTCTCACTAAAGGGGCAACATCCGGTCGAGGAAACAGTCAGCTAAGCCCATCAGCGCACCCGAAACCCGCTCAATCGAGTCCGCTCACACCGTCCAGCTGCCACATCCGCCGGCGCATCCGTCGCGACCGTCGGAGGTCAGCGTCCCGCCGCTGAGGCACCGCCCATCGCCGGCAGCGCAGCAGGCCCACAGCTGGCACATGTAACGGCGCCGACGAGCCAGGCCAAGGCAGTGGGACGTCGGGTCCGCCGCCGTACAGGACTCCGGTACGTCAGTCATACCGCAGACACGGTGACACAGCTCACTCACATCGATGGCTCACAAGGTTTGCAGGTGCTGAGAGCTCTTTTTTCATCTATGTGGTGTGTACTGACACGGCGTTAGAATAGACACTCGCTGGATTTCGCCAATATTCGCAATAACAATAACAATAAGCTTAGACCGAGTTGTGCTCACTCCGCACGGAGACTGCAGTGCACGCCAGACTTGCAGCCAGTCAAGCCAACCAGCGTGTTTGAGCCCCGTCCGCTCCAGCCGACCAGCAGCGCACGCCACCCGGGCACGTCCAGTCACGAGCCCGCCAGGCACGGCCGGTGGAGCCTCGGAGCCGCCCAGGCGTCAGTCGTCATACTCAGCCTGGCAGGAGTGTGATGTCCGGTGTTCATGCAACACTATGAACCATGCGCGGGTAGTTTCGGCGGAATGTCTCGAAATTAGGACGCATTACGTTTTAGGAGTATTGCGTGATGTAGTAAGTGTTTGAAACATTTAGGTCGTGGAAATCAGTGTTGGGTGTTGTTGATCCCTAATGTCAACAGCGACAACCATTTTTTGACAGTGATGTGGATGCGAATAAGAATTTTTTGTGAAGAAAATGTACCGCGAACCTATGTGCCATGCTGATAGATGTATAAGCGCGACCAGTGAAACCCAACAGCGATGTGGCACATCCGTCATCAGTTCGCGTGCACGACATGCCCTCAAAAATTTGTGCAGCTGGTCCAGCACCAGCAGCGCCCACGAACTTGAGAGGTGCGAGCAACTGCTCGTAAATAGCAGCTGTTCTAACAAGGCAGTTGGACCAATACCAGGTTTTTCATTAGTCGTCGAAACCCGAAAATGTAAGATAAAGACCACCAGCTTTGTTATAGAAACCACATGTCGTCAGGCAGGGTAGCTGAACAAGTTTTATAGAATATCATCAGGACAAACATCACATCAACCGATTTCAACACCGAAATAGGACTTGTTACCCAATCACTACAAAAGCCAGATAACTGCCTCCTTTTATATAATTTAATTGACCCTTGTAATGGCAAACAACTTGTCAGATCAAAACCAGCTATAGTGCACCAATAAAGTTTATGAATCGAAATGGCCGTACGGGGACTACCGGCTCGGCAACTCGACCAGTATTGGAATGGCGATATCTCTATCGCGACGCATGGATACTAGGCCGGCACATGCGTAAAGCTCGCAGCACAAAATTCCGTTGCTCTGACACAACTGAGGACACATGGATCCTGAAATAGTGCCCAAACAAACTCCATCTACAGATCCTGGCGTCCATTCTCATCAGAGAACAAAAACGTCTGACCTAAACGAGCAGCTTAGGTCAGGCATTTCTCCGACCCTCTTCAATCAAACAAGAGAGTGACCAATGTCTTAAGTTTGTCAGCGAGTGAAAATGGCTGAAAAAGCGTGGTTTTTTGTTCCTTAATTTGACATTTGTTTGGGTTCTCTGTGAATTGAAGTCCCGTCGAGAAGGTGTCGTACTTCGTATTACTCGTTCTCTGCTTTGTGTCGAACTGTTCTCCGTTGCTATGGAAATGGAGAATGAATGTCCTTAAAACGTTAGCGTTCTTAGAGAAATGAAAAATTTTCATCAGCGAACTGATATTTGACTTCCGTAAGAACGAATAACTTAATTCGAATAGCAAACAAATGCAGCAGAGACTGATGAAATATAAATAGACTCTCTCTCTCTCTCTCTCTCTCTCTCTCTCTCTCTCTCTCTCTCTCTCTCTCTCTCTCTCTCTCTCTCTCTCTCTCTCTCTCTCTCTCTCTCTCTCTCTCTCTCTCTCTCTCTCTCTCTCCCTCCCTCTCTCTCTCTCTCTCTCTCTTTCTCTCTCTCTCTCTCTCTCTCTCTCTCTCTCTCTCTCTCTCTCTCTCTCTCTCTCTCTCTATATATATATATATGTATACATATGTGTACATGTATGCATGCATACATGACATACATATATAATCTATAACATCCGGCGTTCGCCAATCATACTTCTAGCAGATTTCACGTTGTGCTCGTCACAAGCCTTAAAGACAATATTTGTAGATCCTGGTGCGGCAAACACCAACGGCTTGGTAGTAAACATGAGAACGAGAAATTCACAATTATCCACGGAGCCCAACTCTTCATCTCCATTTCACTAAAATCGTCAACGCGGTGGCGTTCTATCGCTGGATGTTATCGATTGGTTGATTGCCTGGTATTCGGCCAACTGCTTATAAATTTACTGGCGTACTGAGGAAGAGGGAGAGACTGACCTTTTCGGAAATAGTTGGAGAACAGCTTAACCATGTTTTCAAGGAATGCAAAAGTGCTTCCTCGTCTATTCCATGATGACGTGAGACAAGATTTATAGACCTTGAAATCAGACCTATCAAGATGTGGTATCAGATATGCTAAGGGACTCATTACCCCTCCCCCCCCCAGACATGTGCCTAGGACCAAAAATGCATATTGGTGTCCGATCCCATTCCGATCCGATCATAAGATCCCATTAACATGAAACCCTTTGCAATCCTGGATCCACCTTGGGCATCCAGCTACATGAGTGCCCCTTGATATCCCGTGAGCCAGATTAAGAGTATAACAAAAGCAAAAACAAAAGTGTTCAATTGGTTTTGACAAAATCTGCATTCCTACCTTAATGGTAAGCGGGGCACATTTCCTCAGGGCGTGACAAATGTTTGTACACGTTCTTCGCTGCGCTAAGCTAGAAAACCTATTAAAATGAGCTATGTTTTCCAGTTGGATTCGCATCTGCAGCTGTCTTGGTTGCCGAGATATGGCGCGAAATGTGAAAAAACGGCTGGTAGCGGCCAAATCGATCTTGCTGGCTCGCGCACGCACGACACACAAGCCATGTCGCAGCAGGCTGGCATGATGATGTATGCAGCGTGACTGCCTGTTCGATTCCCTATCATGCCATGTCGCAGCAGGTTGGCATAATGATGTATGCAGCGTGACTGTCTGTTCGATTCCCTATCAGCGCATGCCAGTCCCCGGTTCCTCCGTGCCCTCGGTGCTGCGAGGTGTCACACAACTTAAATCCTGTCAAAAATACAAAGTTCAA